ATGACGACAATTTATTATCTGACCTGTGTTTCACCTGTGAGAATCATATATGTACAAATAAATGAGCTAAAAAAATTTCAAATCAATAAAAATTAAAATTGGACCTATTATTGAGCATGCTCATCATCTACAATGCACACATTATTCGTCCCACATGGGAGAACATGTTATCTCTTTTATATGACAGATGCAGATCTAGGCCAACATTAAAATTTATCTATAAAACATAGAGTTAGTGACTAGGCACCAGTCCCTCATCGGATGCCAATTCAGCATATTGCGTAAAGACGACTTAGCTTTTCATAAGGGAGAAGTTCTCATGCTAGAGAATGTAAGATACCCTTACATATATAAATATTCAGTCTTTTTTAATCAATGACAAGCCAAAATGTTCACGTGCCTTGGATGTTGTACACTTTTCCTCATCTTGTTTGGTCAAGGTAAGCTTTTTAAAAAAAGAGTTGCATTTTTCAAAGTCCTATTCATGTTTTTGATTATAGGGATTACTTTCATTAATTGGGATAATGTAATTAAAAACTGCACTAACAAAAAAAGAGGACATCGGATAGTCTAAATGCAAGCTACAGAGAACACCTGAGGAACACAATATTAATTTGACGGCACAGGGTACTGCGAGGTCATAAAAATCCATACACGCTCAAATTCCATTGGTTTCTGTTGTTTATATTTGACTATAGCACTCCTTAGCAGTTAGATTTTGTTTCACGGTGTTTAATGTCCTCAATCTATTTAGTATTATATTGGTATAAACACAGCTATTTCACAGGTCTTCTGTTTGTACCCCATGATCACACAGTAGGAATGTCTTTATGTAACGAATGCGTCTTTAATCAAGGTTTCAGTCAAACGTCGCGACAAAATGTTAATCATGATTTTAGTTCGCATTTCATTGAAGTGAAGGGCAAAAACTGTTTCAATAGTTATTCAATAATTGCGTCATATATCGATTATAGCCTTAGTTTGAATTATTGATCGTATTAGGTCGTATACAGCTCGGTTGAGTTTTCGTTTTTTTTAGAGAAGCATTAAATTAGTGCTTTTTGTATAAGTCAGTAATGTTAATAAACTTGACCCTTTTTTGGAGTTTGACATATTAAAAGATTTTTGAAGCACAAATCTTATGAGTAGTCTCCTTGACAATCTTTATAAGGAACACAAAGTTTTACTGGCTCAAGCAGATTTTTTCTGTAGGTCCAGTTTTTCAGTTACGACAGTGAATAAAATAGAGGATATTACATGGGCGCGCGGAGATACGGATTTTATCTTCCAGTGTTGAGAAGCCATCTCTCACGAGTGAGCGTTGCGAATGAGAGATTATTTTTTGATAAATCCTCTTATCGTATAATTTTCTATGAAATACCAATATTTCTCCATTTCGTAAAGTTGTGAAAATAACATGTTATTTTCACTAGTGAAAATAACACATTCGAGGATTCTCTATATAGTAAAATCAAGAAAACAGGTATTTTACGACATAATTTGCTTTCATATGTAATTATATGATAAACAGAATATTACATGGTCGCTTGTAGATACAAATTTTATCTTCTCGAATTTTATCTTCGCTACGCTCACTCGTGAGAGATCTTTTCAACACTCGAAGATAAAATCCGTATCTCCGCGCGCCCATGTAATATCCTCTATTTATGTCATGATATAATGATATTTTTCTTGGAAAGTTTGTCTTATTAAATGTAAAAATTTCATTTTTGATATGTTTTCAGGGACGTCTGCAAAATTTGTGTTTTTAAATCCACCCCAGAACACGACTGCTTCTGTTCCATTTGGYGATAATTTCGTCTTCAATTGTTCTACTAATGGTACCATAGTAACTACAGAATTAATTAAGAGGCACTCTGGTCAGTGGGTCTCTCTACCAAGTACCTCTTTGAAATTGGTAGAGCTTGTAAGGAGTGGCGATGCTTTTACAATTTTAGACTTTGGRCTTCCCGATTCAGGAAACTACAAGTGCCGTGCAACYGACAAGCTAACTGGGCAAAAGATYGAATGGGCAGATCCTGGCATGTWCCTRTTTCCAGATRRTAAAAGACTTCCTGCAATGTCTGTTGTCCCAGACAACGCAGTGGTTATACCAAAAGGGAAGAGCGTCAATTTTGAATGTACAAGTGCAAGCGCCACAAAGCTCACATGGTACAAAATTGTTTCAGACAAGAAGGATATTCCTGTCCCAGGTGATATGATTAAAACTGAAGTAACAATGACGAAAAAGAAAGTTATCCTTGCAATGAAGAACGCGCTAGGGGACGACACTGGAAACTACAAATGTGTGATGTCTTTCAGAGGCAAGAGGAAGGAGAAGATGATCTCTCTGAAAGTTTTCTGTAAGACATTAATTTTATACTATACTATACTATACTATACTATACTATACTATACTATACTATACTATACTATACTATACTATACTATACTATACTATACTATACTATAC